TTTTTTTTTTTTTGCTGAAAACTTAATTTTTTGCCCCCCAAAAAGTCCAAATCCTAAATCTATATCCATATCACATGGCCCATATCCATTATTTAGTCCATAGATATATCATATAATCCACCGATTTCTTCCCAAAGTGCAAATATCGAATATGAACAACAAACAATGGACTTTTCCTTTTTATTCATAATATGTTGTTCGAAAAAAAAAATTTTGACCCCACAGTTTGAACGGTCTGGGTCCGCCCTTGGCTCCACCCCATATGAGAATTCTGTTTTTCTTCTGTTGGAATAATTCTGTACGTGCAGAATTATTAATTTCACATAGATAAATAGGTGACGGAATGTTTGGTTAACACCTCTCTATCTCTCAACCCAATCTTCCGTTATCTCCGTTTCTCTTACTGATTCTTACAGGTCTTCCTAATATTATTTCTTTAATAATGTCGTTATAGCAATAAATAAATCCTCATATAATTTTGGGTTAAACCACTATCCACTAATCTCCTAATTATTTAAATTTTGCACATATTAGTGTGATTCAGTCTATTATTATCAACAACTCTCACAGCCAGAAATTTCAATCAAATTAAATTCCTTTTTCTGACCTTTCCCCTTATCCATATTTTTGGACTTTCATGCCCTCCTCCATTGTTGTATAAGCCAAATTTATATATACATACAGGGCCTCTATATATATTGGCTGAGAGAGAGAGAGAGAGGAACCTTTGATGGGGTAGCCCTCCTTCCCCACTGTATCAGCCAAATATTTATATATACATAGAAGGGGTATTTATATATAGGCTGAGAGAGAAAGAGAGGGAAGATGAAATAGAAAAGTGGGTTTTGATTGATTATATATTCTGATGGTGCAATTTACAGCTGCCAATACTATGGATCTTGGAAATTTTAGTAGCATTAGCAGTGTCAGCTTCCACCATAATTCTGATACTAGTTTTAGTTGCAGATACTTCCATTTATCATCCGCCATCTTGTCTCCTTCTTCCTTGTGTTTTGGAAGTTCCAATTTAATGCCCTTAACGGCTTTTATTAACTCTTTTATTAGGTCCATCTCTAATTTAATTCCCAAGCCTTTCCCTGAACAAGGGACAGCTTAATTTTCAATTTTCTGGATCATAGTTCTCTTTTTCTTTTTGTCCAATGCTTTTCTTGGCGAATTTACTGCTTCTACGGGGTGTAGTAGCACAATCTATTGCCTCTTGAACCTAATTTCATCTACCCTTTTGTTGTTTTCTTGAAAAATTTGTCTTTTATACTCAATTTTCAAGAATACTCTCCTATTGCAACACCCCTTTTGTTCCGTTCTTGAGAGCTTGGAAGATTTCTTTTCTTTCTCATTCAAGAAAATTCAAGAAAATGTTGTGTATTCCTCTTCATGGGCTTAATTATCGGCAGATGAGGATGGTTTCTGGTGGGGTGAATGCATCTTCTCCAGCTATGGCTTCTTTGGGGTCTTGTGGCAGGTATTTGATCTTCTTTAATGCCAAAATGTAATGGGTTTTAATGGATTTTTATAAAATAAATTTAACTCATTTATTATGAGTATGAAGTTTGATGTACTATTTTTATTGTACTTGTTTATGTAAAGTTATAGTAAGTGGATTGGAGAAGCATTTGTGCTACTACTACTAGTACTTGGCAATTCCCAATATCCCGTTATTCTTTACGATCATCAGGTATGAATTTAATGGTTGTGGTGGAATTTGGAGTCGTTTTGGGAAAGCAAAGAGGAACAATTTGATTGCTACAACTGGGAATGCTGCCCTTAAGAAGAGAAGATTGAGTAGTTTACCTCTGTATTCTTCTGTTCTGGATGAATCCCGAAATTCATCCAGAACCGACATCTATAAGGAGGTTTGAGTATATTTCTTTTGAAGTAATGTATTCCCTTGGTTTGATCTAGTTCTATTGTTGGTTTAATAATGAATTTTAGCCATGCTGATTATCGATATCGGTTGTTACTTTGTTTACTCATCTAGCCACATGGTAACACAGTTTATTTTGAGAATTTAGTGCTAATTTTGGAAATATGTGAAATTCTTTTAATCCGTGATTTATGTTATGATGATCTATCAGTTTCTTGAAGCTGCTAGGGAGAGATTTACTCAGGAAATTTCTTTCCAGTCCAAGGACAAAGATATCTCACTTGCGAAGGTAGTAATTTATTCTTGGTTCACACTTTCGATTAGATGTAGTTAATGTGCAATCAAAAGAATATATACCTTTCTTGATCTGGTTTCCTAGTTGATACTCTTTAGTTAAGGTGTACATAATATCTTGAATTCCAGTTGTTTGATTGAATATTCTCTATAATTGAATTGTGGCTAGAATTTGGTGAACATTTTTTTATAGTGCTAGTGGTACCAGTATCATTTCTTTTTCAGTTTTGTGATTGGTCTTCTCTTCTCCGGATTTGCTCCTACCACTTATTGAACAGTTGTTAAAATACGAGTGGCTCCAATAATCTCTATATCTTCGTATGACTGACAAAATATGTACTGTTGCTGAAGTCCACATATTGAGTTTCTTCATCTTATTTGAAATTATACGAGTTTGTCAGCATCTCTATTGTTTATGTGTTTCGGAATATTTTCTGTAGGCTTTACTTTACATTGCTGCTGAAGATGAGGCGTTTTTGGCTTTAAATAGAGAGATGGACTCCCATTTGCTCCATAACGAAAGGAGAGATTTGTCATCACCTTCTGACGCTGAAGAGTGGGATTATGTGGAGGCTATGCCTCTAGCTGGAAAGAATATAAGTGAGTGGCTGTCCGAGTTGGATGCCATTGCTAAGCAAGTCGAAGCAGAGCTGGTTTCAAGAGAAATAGGATGTGATTTGGTAGAAGTTTTGGAGGCAGTGAACAAAGTTCTTTTTGAGTTGAGAGGTTTCAAAAGGTCATCCATAGTAACTGATTCGAAGTGTTCATACCTGCACTTTGTATTAAGCTCAGGATGTGCCAGCGGTATATCTTCATCAATCAATTCTCCTAACAAATCTTAATTATTAGTTTATATTTCCAAGATTGCATAATTTTTTTAGTTAAGAGTTAATTTGGATAAGGCTGCACCTAACTTTTTATGTTACCATATTGCCAGCAATTTTGCTTAGCGTAATTTATATTGAGGTTTGTCGAAGACTTAATCTGACCATAGTGGGATCTCGAGTTGGTGAAGATTTTTTGATATGGCCACCAACTGGGAACCCTGAGGTATGTTGATTTTCCAAACCCATTAATAATGTCACGGATTTATGCCTGTTATCGTTATTTTCAAAATGGCATGCATAATAGATAATCCTATTGCTTGTTTGATAAGATGCATTATATAGGATATTGTCTGAACTAAAATAAGCTAAATTCTTGTCTGTTGTACCGATGTCTTGTCCAATACTGCTTACTAAAAAATCCATTAACAGTTGCAAATTTGTCTTGGTTCAACCCTGTTTGGTCTCAGTTTTTAGAGTCTGATATGGCTACCTTTCTGCCACAATGCAGGAGCTATTCAAAGTAACTTCTGGACACAGCTTGTTTGGGGTTGTCAATGGGAAGTGTGTGGACGACCCCCGATCTAAGGCCTCTGACATAAATAGTAATTCACTCTTGGCGCTTGACATTGCAACAAATAGAGATATTATTGGGATTGCTTTGGCAAATTTGATGGTAAGCTCTATCATGCCAGTAATTCTATGGTGTATAACTTTAGTTCTTAATCTTGAGTTTTGCCAGCCAACAATTTTATGGTTCCAACCATGGAAAATATAATGGGTATAAATATTGCAGAGGATTTACTGGAAACGGGCTTCAAGAAAAAACTACGGATTGATGCTGACTTCTCCACTTAGGTCTGTTCATAAAGCCGATGAGAAATTTAACAAGAACGATGGTCTAAACGTCCCTTTGTTGCGACCTCAGGAGCTGAGGTAACCTTCTTGTATTCTCTTCGTAACTCGACTTCTACTTTTGCCCCTTTTTCCTATTGTGATGGTGTGTATTTGTCCTGTCTGTTTTCCTTTAAGGGTGCTTATAGTATTGTAGTTTGTGCATAACATACGCTTTCGATATTATAATCCTTTCCAGACTCGCGATCATGGCTTCCCAAAGATTGCTGATTCTGCAACCGCACAACTGGTCCTTGAGACGAGATTATGGCATGATGTTGTACTATAGTAGGTATGAACTCCGAAACTTTATATAACTGTTATTTACGTTTTTCACCAATATTATTCGAGCTATTCGGTGGTAAACTACAATCAACGTTTATAAATTATAGAGAATACGAGGAAGCAGTCCAAGAACTTAGCATCTGCATGGCCTTTGCCCCGGAAGAAGAGGCAGAAGTACTAGAACCATTTGTCGAGAAATTACATTTGATACGGCTGGAATCATCATGGAAATCATTGGGGCAAAAAGGTCGGCTAGCAGTTCCTTGACTTGTCTGTTTTCTGTATAAAATCGTACTTATCAACTTGCGTGCTTATATGATAGTTTGTATAATAACACCAATAACGGATCTCACGCTATGAACTTACTTCTGTATATATTTTCTTTGAACCATCTTTTTTGATTTGCATGGCTCAAGAATTTTATCAATACATGTAGAAAACAAAGCAGTCTTCGCAAAACATGAATTTACCTCAATCCTTAAGGCAAGATGTTCTTGGAAAGTAAGGCTCCTCTTGATGAAATCCAGTAGGATCTCGGGAGATATATCTTTATCTATACGAACCCAGGTATTCAGATCGATAAAATGTTTGACTCTGTTTATGAGTTTCGCGAAAACATACGCAGATTATAGATACTATAACCATTTTCATTCACACTCTTTTACGGATTTTTGGGGATACTTGTGGCCTATTTGGGATAGCTTTTACATTTTAAAGAGAGCGCTTTCTAAGGAAGTAGCGCTGGGCTAGCTTTCTTTAAATGTTATTGTAATAATATAACAATCATGCTACATGTACATTATCTTTGACATATTTGTTTATATTATACCATGTGAGAACATATCGTTGGATAGTTAAAAAAAAAAAAAAAAACATACTTTCTCACCCACAACTTTTTGAATTCCAATAGAATGTACACAATGATGTCAACCCGATAATGTACACTCAGCATTATTCATAACATAAAGCACTTCTAAAAACTTGTGTAAACAAGCTCAATAGCAGTTTTTTAATTCCAAAATTAGTTTTCCACTTTTCAAAGTCATGCCAAACATATCCTTTGTTTCCCATTGCTGTTTGTTTACAGAAAAGATCATCATTTCCTCTTGAATAGTGCATAAAATTTACTACATTAGGAAGTAGGGCTCCAAGTGATATAAAATGTTAAAAGAGATGAAAGGGTAAATTATAGGTATTTCAAATTGTTTTATGACGCGGTTAAAACTGAGGGAACTTCAAAAAATATTTTAAGTGGTAATGAATTAAAGAGGTGAAGTTGAAAAGAATTAACGAATAAAACTCAATCACAAATAAATTCTTAGATTTATTGAGAACAAGATCAATTTATTTTTTCTTGACGTGATTAGAAACTTATTTTGCTTCCTCATTTCAGTAGAAACACAGGTGTACTTATTTAAGTCGTCTTTGTGGGACGGTATGGCCTATCCATCTTAGCCCCTGTTTGAACCCCATTATTTCAAAATACATTTTTTCTCAAACTCATTTTCAATCATACATTCTTTCAACAAAATAATATACACGTAAATTTTAAACTTTTTCCTACTTTTAAACTATACAATTTTAAAAAAGTCACTATTACAAAATTCATTATTTGTTAAAAATGAGGCTCAAATGGAGCTTAATCAAATTGATTAATGGCCTGCTTGTTTTTCAATATTTATACCATTCATTTAGCAACTATACTTTTGTGGCTTCAGATTGATAAGTTTGGGTACGTAAAAGTAATACCAAATGTGGATGTAAAGTAGATAAGCTTTTGAAGGGATAGGCCACTAACCCGCCTACCCACCCTCACTAATTCATCCCACCATTATGTCAAATTTTGGAGTTGAATTATTATCGATCCTAACTTATCTTATAAATAGGTAGTTATTTTTAGGCTTTATTATTATCCAAAAAAAAAAATAATAATAATAAAGAAGGAGGAGGAAGAAAGGCTAGATAACATAGAGTGCAATTTTCTCTTGTAAACATTATTTATCATAGTGAATTATTGCAACGACAGGGGAATATTTATTTTCTCATTGATGCGAATCTTTATAAATTTTGCCTAATCTTGAGTATCTATTTTTATTTCTTAGAATTGATTGCTCTCGATGAAATATAATTAGGGTTTATAATTCTCAACACATTAATCTCTGCATGTGTCCAAGAAAGAATTTCTTAGCCCTTAAATGAAGAAAGTGCGGAAAAAAAAATCACATCAAACTCGAAATGATTGGTTTCGCCGCGGAATTTATAGGTAGTTTATGATACTCTCAGCGGATTTAGTTCATGATCACTTAGTAGTGATGAACAACATTGATTATAAATTACCTTACACGTTTATATGGATTTGTCCTCACGATTTGAGTAATGCTATTTATCTTGACTTGATGTCAATCAATAGTAACCGTCAAGTTGTCCAATAAATTTAGAATGCATATTTATACGGGAATTGATGCTCGTACATCCGAGCTCACAGCTCGGATGACAGCCCCCTCACATGTGGGGGGGGTCCGCAATTTTTTTATTGAGCGCGGACCTCTCGCCCCCACATATGAGGGGGCTATACATTGGACTGTACATGTAGCTCAATTCTATTCATGCATTGGACAATTGATAAAAACAATCAATTGAGCTGATAAATAATTTATTTTAATTACTTTATTGGTCTGACCCGAGATTGTTTCGTTATAATAACGAAAAGAAAACAATAACAAGAAGTGGAGGCAGTAACACGGGAAAAAGACCTACAAAGCTCTTGTTTGAGCCCCATCTTGGGGATAGAATGAATTTTCGAATATTGTATTGATGGAAAATATATCATTAAAAAATAAGGGAAAGTTTTGAACTTGCGTGTAATATTATTTTATTAAAAAATGTGTGGTTGAAATCATATTAAAACATTATCGAACAATTCATTTTTTCAAAGAATGAGCGTGTTTAAATAAATAAATTTAAATAGAAAACAAGAATGACAGAAAGAAGAAAGGGAAAATTCAAATAAAGGTTTCAAAATACGTTTTCAAAAATAATAAACTTGTAGAATTTTTTCAAAATCAGGTGATTACATTTTGTGGCCCTTGATAAAATTTCGTGACATATAATTTAATTAATCAGCTCAAGGTCAAAATATCAAAAAGTTTTTGGTCACGATCACATATTAGTAACAAATCACACAAGTCACATTAACAATAATACAATTTGTGAATCATAATCATGTATTTTAATGACAAATAACAAATTTTATTAGGTCAGAAATTATATATTAATCATAAATTATTCAATTAGTTGGTCACAAAAACTCTTCGATTCACCCAATCCCACTTCAACATTGTTGACACCACCCAATTGCCATTGCCACATCAAATTTACACTCCACCGCCATCACCTCCTTCACCTTAAGTCCACAACCACAACCACCATCACCACCTCCAACCCCCCCCCCCCCCCGCCCCCACCCCCCCCCCCCCCCACAACCACCACCACCGCCATTACCAAGTGGGGTTGAACAACAAAATTGTTAAACTGCAAAATCGAATCGATTTTTTTTTTTAAATCGTTAGTTTGAGCACACATGGATCTATCAATATTTTGATTTTGAACTGGACCAAATCGCTTCGAATTGGTTTGATTTAAGTTTCAATATTTGTAAACCGATTCAAACCATCAAAACTTTCACAAAAATTAAAAATAAATTACTTTTAAAATTTTATCAAGTCAATTAAAACTAACCACATTCCAATTGAAAATATACATCCATGTTAGACATAACCAAGTAAAATAAATACGTAAATAGTCAATTATCCATCTCATAAATCATATTGAAATACACATCAGTCATAACAATTGTGAACACAAAATCCTCAAATTGGGTAAAGTATTAAAAAACTGCTGCTGAACCATATTCATCAACTACTCATTACAATTGAGTAGACAATTAAATCAAAATTTTAATTTAAACTTACACGTTTCTTTTCTTTCTACTAATAATTTTCTAGAATTCCGACTGAATTTTCGGGCCAATTTATCCAAATTTTCTTAGCTTTTGGCGATCGTTTGCTATATTTTATTAGTAATTGTGTTGTTTTGTTCTGATATATGTCGGGCTCCCTTAAATTTTTATAGAATAACATTTTTGTTTATTTGCGCCTTAATTTTTCAGTTATGTCACTCAATTAATTATTTACATGTTATCTTAGTTTTTAGATTTCATTGTTAATTGTTAAAATGATTTGATAGATTACTTAAATGGTCATTTTGAGGATCTAACTAATGAGCCTTTCGACATATTATTTTGATGAAAATTGAATACTAATAAATACAAGATGAATACTCAAATTGCTAAATATGTGTTAGCTATTCAAATATCAACAATTGTTTCTACTTCTACGTTCCTTATTAGCAATTGAATTTTTTAATCCTTTAAGAGTTTGTTGAATACAATTATAGTTAATGCAGTAATTTGCCCTAAAAATTGGTTGGATAGTTTACTAACAAGGGAACTATAGCGATTCTTCAATTTGGATGATGTAGAAGCATTAGATGATTCATAAAAAAGTTATAGAATGTATTACCTGACAAGCGTAAATACACTTATCTAGGTCAGTAAATTAGAGTATTTGTTAGTGATTTGAATAAGTTATAGCTTAGTTATATGCCGATTGTGTTTGTTAGATTGAAATCAATACATATTGGTGAAATTGAAAGAAAAGAACGAAAAATAGGCAAAACGAAAGAAATTCAATAGTTGTTTTGGACCATAAAATGATGATTGAAGATCACATATGATCAATTGGATACAATTGGAGGTTCAAGAAGTGAAATATAGTTGAAATATTTTCACAAATTAATTTTCAATGGAAGAATTTATGTCCCAAATTTGTAGCCTCAACTTGAGACCCATTTTTCAGATAACAAATATTTGAATTGGAAACATTGTACTTCTAGAAGAATTGTACCATTTTAGTTAGCTTCCCATCATGTTTTGAATCACCTCAATCGAACATTGGTAGAGAAAGTTATGACCAAAATACCAAAAGCTATTCAGGGTTAAAAGTGCGCAAAACGCACGCGAGACATAAATCTCATGACCCGAGAGCCACATTGTTCAATGGAGCATGTGCAGTGGTTATTCCCGTGTGTGTAGGCTTTTTTTTTTTGCAGACATATTAGTAGTTTCCTTTGCAATTCAGACTCTTTTGAAACCTAATTGGAAGCGATTTTGACCTTTTTTCGGCTCTTATAAATAGAAAACAGGGCTGCACATAAAAAAAATCATCTCTTGCCTCTTCATACACAATAATATCATCAAATTCATCCAAAACAAGAGCTTAATTATTATATTTTGAGAGAGAAGATTAAGCTCTAGGAAGAATTGAAGGCTAATTACATCAAGAAATTGAAAAATTCAACTTTGGATTTGAAGATCAACATTTTTA